TATTTAGACCTCTATAAATGCCCTTTGCCTCCGAGTTCTTTCCTCTATTTCCTTTTACTTTCCTCTTGTCCCACTATCATGTTCAGCCTTCATTCAGGTTTCAGGAATTGCCCTCGGTTACATTGCCCTTGATCAAATCTTTCCAGGCATCCTGTGCCATCCCTACCAATGGTTTTAGATCACTTGTTGTTCCTGTGTCCCTGGGTTTCTTGGCCGACTCCCCCCACCCATCATTTTCCCCACCTCGTCCTCTCTCGTATTGCCGGAACCATAGGTCGGGTTGTTTACTCCTCTGGATTGTTTATCCTGCCTATCATATCTAGATAGACATGCAGAGACAATAATAAACACAAAAACAAGACAGTGCCAAAGAAAACAACAACAAACCAATGACAAAAAAGAAAAAGAAAAACCTATAAATAGTTCCAGGTCTGCTGGTTGACCTTAGGAGTGCTTTCCAGGGGAGTCTGATGGGGTGCAATGCCCTGGCCCCAAAGTCTATTTTTGGTATTCCCAGGAGATTTCATTGCTTTGCTCCCCTTGCTGCTCTGTTTGCACCAAGGGCAACATTTCTTAACATATGAATACTAACAACATAATTGGCTTCTGAAATCTCTCCACACTGAATCAATCACACTGTAACTCTAGTTGGTGCCAACTCACTGGGACTACAGGATGGGGTAGAACTGCTCATTGGAGTTCCCGAAACTGTCGCTGCTTATGGGAGTAGAGAGCCTCTCTCTCTCCTGCAGGGAGGCTGCTGGATTCAACGTTCTGACCCTGAGGTTAGCAACCACTGCAATATCATTGTACCTGGTTTCAAACACCGACTGCTGGAATGAGAAGCTGTATTGGGGCCTGCAATAGGAGTCAACTATCTTTCAATGTCTGTCGGTCTAAAGCAATATTCAAACTCCGGTATATAAAACCACAAAGCACAGGTTGACGTTTCACGTCCAATCTCTACTGCACATGCTGACTAGGGGGTGGGGGGGTAAACGGCTAGGGAACTTCCCACAGGGATACGTTATGGGCAGAGGACAGCAGCCGGACAACATTTTGAATCCGTTGGCTCTGGGCCACCAAACTAACGTGCAAATAGGCAGTTTAAGCAATGGTAAAAATATGAGGACGCCAAGCTGTGCTGGAATCGGCGGGCGCCTGGTCCACGTGCCTGCACCGCCCTTTGCTGGAAGCATTGGCTAATGTCTCCATCTCCCAGCTCCAAACGCACTAGACTCCTATTGACCCCCTGGGGGAGAACAGAGGGGCCCCTGTGGGTTTGCCAGGCTCCAAAGCTTCATGGGAGCAGAGAGCCTCCTCTTCCTCCTGCAGGGAGGCTGCTGGATTCAAAGTGCTGACCTTGAGGTGAGCAGCCACTGAGAGCGATCCCCCCCTGCAAGATTCCTTCCAGATGAATATACTTGTCTCCGGTTTCCAAGTCAATCAGGAGCTCACCTGACCGATGGAATGAGGAGCTATCGTGGAGCCAGCCAAAGGCGTCAGCTCTCCCGTGATGTCTCCTGGCCCAGAGCTCTGTTCAACCTCTGCACAAACCACGAGTGTAGAGGGTAACTTTGGGCATCCACTCACAACCGAACACGGTGAGTACGGGGAAGAACACCTGTGGAACTCCCCACGGTATTTGTTAGGGCCTTAGCAGCCGCCGGTCAAAGCTTTGAATGCACTGGCTCTGGGCAGGGAAAGGAACGGGAGGTAGCAAGCTTAGGCAACGGAAAAATGGAGGACGCCAAGCCGCACTGGAATCTGGATCTCATCCACGTGCCTGCAGGGACCTCTGCTGGAAGCATGGCTAATGTCTCCATCTCTGAAAGCCAACCCTCTGAAGACTCCCCTGGACCCTTTGGGGAGTTCAAGTGCCTCTGGGGGGTTGTGAGGCTCGAAAGCTTTATGGGAGCAGTCAGCTTTCCTCCTGCAGGGAGGCTGCTGGATTCCCACCATGGAGCCTGAAGTTAGCCACTGCAAGTGTTACCCACTGCAAGACTCCAGGTGAATATATTGTTCCTGAACATAAGTTAGTGTTATATGTTATAGTAAAGCAGTATGAGGGGGCCTTCAGAAAGCTCATGGACGGGAGTGGGGGGCAGGGAGGGAGAAGGAAAAATGAGGAGCTGATACCAAGGGCTCAAGCAGAAAGCAAATGTTTTGAGAATGATGATGGCAACAAATGTACCAATGTGCTTGACACCATGGCTGGATGGATGGATTGTGATAAGAGGTATACGAGCCCCCAATAAAATGATTCAAAAGAAAGCTCATGGACAAAATGGAATTAAGAGAGAATGGAATTCATCTACGCTTTCTGAAGCCCCCTCATATAATTGTGATACAATACGTGATCTCCTTGCCATCCAGTTAGGTATTTCTGATTTGGAACCTTATAGGACAGAGAACTGCCCCTGTGGGTTTCAGAGAATGTAACTGTGTTAGGCAGGGTTCTCTAGAGACAAAGGGCTTAGGTGGAGAAGGACTGTTTTGAGAATGATGAGGGCCATGAATGTACAAATGTGCTTTGCACAATTGATGTAGGTATGGATTGTGATAAGAGTTGTATGAGCCCCTAATAAAACGATTTTTTTTTAAAGAAAAATTGTACCAACTTAAAATATATATATATTTTTAATTTATTTTTCTATAGTGAGAAGGGTGATAAATAACATCTCATCATTCCACAGGGCAGAACAGTGGGTTCAATTCAACTCGGTTGTGGAACAGTTAATATACTGAAAATTCCTCAACTCATGGATGGGCGTCAGTCCAAGGTCAAGGAAGCAGACAGCAGAGTCTTCCCTCAGGCAAAAGAGGTAGAGCCATGGGCCAGAAGTGTCAACAATTGTCAGCATCAAGGGAGCTTATCAAAGCAGGCCTGGAGGGGATATCCAATTCAAGCGATGCGAGGCAGCAGGATCCACCAGCCTCAAGCTCAAGCAATGAGTACACCCCAGCAGCTTGGCGAAGCAGGTATCAAAAGAGCTTCAAGTTCTAGGGACAAGATCCACCAGTTGGCTTGGCCCACGGGTAGTGTAGCACCCGGTTGAGGTAAAGAACTAGCTAAAGCAGCAGCACTCTGGTCTGATCACCAGAGAGCAAGAGAGACAGGGTCGGGCTTTGCCTTCTAATCAAACTACAACCTGATCAATCTCCGCCCACATGTTCCTAGCAGCCAGGTTAGCACAATAAACCTAACTATCACAGTAACTTTTTACAAGAATAGAGAGAGAGCCTCGTCTTTCTCCCGAGGAGCAGCTGATGGAACTGCTGAGGAACTGCTGCCTTGGCTTAGCAGCTAAACATGCAAGCACCATGCCACCAGGGCTCTCTCACCTGGAATGCCATCTATCCTATACGATCCATTTCAGGCCCTGCCATCTTTGTTCTGAGTGGAGTCAAGCAGGGAGGTCCCCCAGGATCTCAATAGAGGGTGTCACTCAGAGGGGCGGTCCCGGAAAGCGGAGGTGGCCTCTGAGGAGGGGCCCAGGAGGTCTGAAAGAAGGCAGGACCTCCCTGCTCCGCGGCTGGCCTCGCTGGAAGGTCATCGGTGGGGACCCCAAGTTTCCAAGAGTCTCCAAAGTTTCCAGGTTTCCCGGACTCGCGCTCCTCCACAGCCCTCGTCTCCCAGCCTGTGTTTCCAGGCTCGGATCGACGTGCCCCGGAGGCTCCCCGCAAAGGAAGTCCGCGGCTCCCGCGGGCCCAGCAGCAGAGC